TTAAGAAATCAAACAAAGAAGCCCAATGCTTATTTTGAGATTGCACTAAATTCTTCCAAGAAGATCACTGGCTAAGAATCCCAGATTTCATTATGACAAATCCAATATGTATTTTAAAGAACAAATAAATTTTGATAAAATAATTCCATATAATGACCAAAATCGTCAATGTCATAAAAAACCATAAAATTTATTTCTGAACCCAGTTCCATTCAACAAAAAGCACAAAACATATTAAAATCCCATTTGTTTCAGGAAAAAATACAATTCTTTGGAAGAAAAATGGACTGTTCTGAATCAGTGAGTGTGAGAAATGCTTATAAAAGTTTAGAAATCAGTTATTATTGAAAAAGCCACCATTTTTTGTCTAGACCCCAGCTCAAACCACCTTAAAACCCACGACTTTAAATCCTTAAAATCCCATTGTTTTCTAATAAAAAAAACCATTTCCATAATCCGAGACACAATTTCCATCAAAAAAGAAAAGGACAGGGTGCTTTGTATTAGGAACTCCATGGACATACTTACAAGCATAGGGAAGACAGTCATAGTTGAAAAATGAAGCTCTTGGGTAAATCCCATAGGCCCTAACCATCCTTTCTCCACATTCCTTTGAAACTTTTCAGAGGAAACTCAGTAATTACAACTGATATAAAAGAGTGGAGCATTTGGGTCTCTCCATCTAAAGTCCCTCTATAAAATTTAGTAAGAGAAACTTACCGTGAGAGGGTGAGAGGTCAGCAAACTCTGCCAATTGTAGTGAATGGAGAGAGAGAGCCATTGCCGAAATATAGAGAGAGAGAGAGAGAGAGATCAGCGCAATCAAAATGAAAATAGGGGAAAAGAGACGAGAGAGATGGGCTTGAAAAAGTGCAAAATAGGGTTAAAAAGGCTTTTTTATTGAAATAGAATAAAACGATTTGTTGAGGCTAATTTTTATGGTCAAAAGTGAATAAACGAGGGAGATAAGAGATGAGGGAGTACGGTGAATTCTTAGGGGTTTTCTTATGCCGCTTGAAAGAAAAATGGAAGGAGGGTCCATCATGAAATAAGATGGGAAATTAGGGTTCGATACAAAATTTTCCTAAAAATCAAATAGATTTTTTGATAAAGTGATGACTTCAATATGATGATTTCGCTCACCTACCTTAGGGATTTTTTTAAAAAAAATTTAAAATACCCCATGTTTTGGATTTAGAATCCTGAACAAGCAAGGTCTTTAAATTAACAGGGCACATGACATGTGAATCTAAATTACTAAATTGACCCTTCTTGGTACAAATTCCAAACCCGGCATAAGATATTTTAGAAGAAAGTTACGTGTCACTTGTTTAAGACTCAGAAGAAAGGACGTAATATTGTCATTTGGCTTGGGCCATTTAAGTTGAACCAAATGACATAAACAATAAATATTCTTGCTTGATCTAAATTCTAAACCTGAAACAACATATTTTAATAGAAAAGAATACTCTAAAATTCGGAACACCATAATAAGCACGGTCATTTACACCATTTGGCATGTCATTATAGGATTGTATATTATGTGACTATTTTATCTTTGTTACAAAGAGGTCACAATTATATCTAGCCATTGGATGGCTTGATGTATGCTACGAAGCTCAATAAATTTCTTTTTTAACTTTGAGTCTAGTCAATAACACAATTATAACTATCCAATTTGAAATTGGACAAATAAGTGTGATTGTGATCTCCTAGTTCTAAAGTTCAACTGTTTCCTTATATACTTTTCCAGACCATTTTAGCAATATTTTTGCAGTGTTCAAAACATTGGATTGTTGGTTGAAGTAAGTTCTTACCCAACAAGCTGATGTGGCAAGGCATATTAGTGGTTTACATTATATAAAAAAAGGAAGACATTTCAATGAGGCTTAGGCCTTAAGGCCAACAAAATAAGCCTCACCTCAAATCTTTGTTCAAAAAGTCCTTTTAGTGAAAAAATCTTTATGATGGCCTAAAATTAATTTTAAACACTGACAATAAAATTTGAAACTAAAAAAATAATACAGATCTTGCTGATTTGTGAACTCTTATTTTTAAAGAAAAATAGACGGTCTAGATAATTTGTTACAATATACACTATTTTAGAGCTTGAAATCCTTTTTTTATTCACAACCATAGTGTTCAAATCGAGATGATCGATGTAAAGATTTTCCAATGCTTGACTTACAATTTTCGATGAGTTATGAGGTAAAAATTTACTTATTTTGATAGGGCTGTAGAATGTAGAATTATCATTTCCTTCTTTTTTGTCACAAAATTCCACTAAAATGCTGAATTAAAATCATCATCACACCATTCCAAAAAGATTTCTAATAATAACATTATCACCATTCCAAAAAGATTTTCTAATAATAACTTGTACCATTTTACAGTCATGACACTATTTTCTACTTATTTTAAGTGCCTTTGGCACTTATATGCAATCACATGTTTTATAACATGACATTGGTTTCAACATGATAAGTCATTGGAACAATATGATTGGAATAACATGATTTTATAATCATAAGCTTTATTTTTATTTATTTTTTATAGAAGTCTTTCAAATGTCTCTCTCTATAATTTCAAATAAACAATAAATTTATGATACTAAATTCAAAATATGTAGGCTACGAGTTAAAAAATGGGAAGAAGTTTCATTAGTAAACTAGAAGGTTTGGTAATTGCAATATAAAATTTTGAGGTATTGGAGGAGACTAAAGAGGTATGTTATTTCAATTGAGATTTTAGTAATCTCTTATGAGGATTATGTTGTGTGAAATTTTTTATTATGATTGTGTTGTATAATTTATCATTGATTACTGATTTTTATTTTTATTATTTTTGTCTTTATATGACACTGATGCCTTCTGATGAGGAGACAAGCTTTAAAAAGGAGATTCTTATTTTTATTATTATTTTTTTCATATTTTTATTTTTATTATTTTTGTTTTCATATGACACTGATGCTTTCTGATGAGGGGAGGAGCTTAAAAAGGGAGGGTTCACATTATGTTTTGGGAAATTTTTTATTGTGATTGTGTTGTGTAATTTATCATTGATTACTGATTTTTATTTTTATTATTTTTATTTTTATATGACAGATGATGCCTCAAATAAGGGAACGAGCTTAAAAAAACAGAGGGATCACCTAGTTATTATAAAGAGAGAGGGCTTAGAAGATTTTTTTTAATCAGGGATAGGGTAGGCAAAAACACGAGAGATCTATCAAAATTCCCTGTCACTCTCGTAATAAATTTTTCACCTATGACCGCCCGTAAAATTCCCTGTCACTCTCGTAATAGATTTTTCTGTCACTCTCGTAATAGATTTTTCACCTGTGACCGCCCGTAATGAATTACCTGATATTAAAGAAATCTCGCATAATCTCTTTTTAGTTTTTGAGAAAATCTCACATAATCTCTTTCTATTTCTTTCCATTTCTTTACTATTAAGTGTACCTAGTAGAAATGTCATATTTTTACTATTACGTGTACCCAAATAGTAGAAATATCATATTTCCCATTAAGTGTATCCAAACAGTGGAAATGTCATAGTTCCTTGTAATCTATTGTCACGTAATAGATTTCCAAGTACCGAAACGACCCTTAAAAGAAATAGAGAAAAATAAAAAATTGAGGGATAAAATAGCAAAACAGAAAATGAAAAAAAAAAAGTTCACAATCAGATTTTTTTATTTCATTTAATATGAGCCATAAATCAAAACCAACATAAAGAACAAAATAAAAGAATATGTAAATCAAATTCACAAATCAAGCTAACAATGGAAAAAAAAATTCCAACCTGTGTATCTTTTTATTTCATCCTATGGGAGATATAGACCCAAAAAAATCGATTTAGATCCGATTTTTGTTTTGAAAAAACTCCTGAAATTTGGCTGCATAGATACAAAGAGGATTCAAAAACAAATATTTTGGGACTAAATTTGTGATTTTTATGGAAAAATGAGGGAAAATGATTGAAAGCAGAAGATTTAGGCTCTTGAACATACAAGGCTTTTAAACCCAACAATTTTCACATCTGGGAAGGTTTATTGTTCACATGTTATGGTTTCACTACGTAGAAACCACCTCAAACTCAAACCTTGCTTTAGAAAACTCCGTTGGCAATGCCATAATATTTTAGAATGTTCCTGGGAGAGACATGCTGATTTCCATTCCATTCCAGAAAAATCGACGTTTCTTTCTCTTGGGTAAACTAGAAATTGCTTGCAAGGGTGTATCTATCCAAGAGAACAATCCATGTATACACATATATAGGTAAGCTTTACAGTTTTAGCGGTAATTGCTTCAGTTTTGAATGGATTGCCCTTCTAATCAGCCCCAGAATGGGACTTGAAACTCCACGATCACTTGATAATCCAACTGCGAGTTGAGAGGACAAATTTTCAATGCAAATGGTTGGCCTATATTAATTTTTGTGTCCAATTGAAAGGTAGCACCTGTACCTCGTGTTTGCCAGAGCTCCTAAAAAATGGTCGGGTCCATTGCCACCCTCACTATGAGCTTCCTCTTTTGTAGCCTAATGATGAACTGATTTTTGAGGGGTGGGCAATTAGAGAGAGGGACATTCGACATCTAAAGAGAGAACACTGTCTTCAAGAAACTGAGAGAGAAAACTGCAAAGAGGGAGGATGACGATGAAGTTTAGTCGTTTGGGGAATCAAGGAAAGACGAAAAATATTGAAACGATTTTACGGTTGAGGCTTTGACCTTTGGGTAAACTAAAAATTTGGATCCGGGTACCCGTCAAGTTGGGTATAACAGGACCCGTACCCGATCCGGGACTATCCAGGTATCCTTTATTGGACCCGGACCCTACCCGCGGGTCCAAAACTCGAACCCATATCAGGACCCATGTCGGGTATACCCGGCGAGTATGAGTCACGTCCAGGTCCATTGCTACCCCTAGAACCAGCTCATCCCACTTGCAGAAAAGAAAAAAAAAAAATTACAATAGCACATAACTTGCTCAATCAATTACTAGAAAAAACATTTACAAATATCAAACAGTAATTCAAAACCAATGAAATATCAAAATTAAATTAGACATTGAACACAGGGATGACACAACACTCTAATAAAATGGAACCCTTTTTCTCTTGATATTGCAATTTTATACAAGGACAGGATAATAGCGCTTATTAACCACTGTTATTACCATCATTGAGAACACGTTTCCGGAAATCAGACACCATGAGCGGTAGTCCTTCCCTCAAGGAGATCTTTGGTTCCCAGTTAAGTAAATCCTTTGCTTTTGTGATGTCAGGTTTCCTCATATGTGGATCATCAGCCGTATTGGATCGGAATTCAATGGTTGCACTGGGATCCACCGTCTCTTTAACCACCTATATATGTTCATATAGTCGACCACACTTCGTCAACAATTATATAACAAAGCACATTCCATTTCGGTACAAGATGGAAATATGGAAAGGAAGCAAAGCAACGGTAACAAGAAATAAATTCAAGACCTCAGCTAGCTCAAGCATCGTGAACTCCCCTGGATTACCTAAATTGAAAGGCCCCACATGCTCACTTTCCATCAGCATGATCAACCCACTAACCTGGAAAAAGAAATCAAAGACAGATATTTTAAGCTTATTATATGTCTTTGTTTTCTTCGAAGTGCTTCATATGTTACTTCATAAACATTAACAATTCATTCAGCAAACAGCATTTGTACGCACCAAATTGAAACTAACATCAAGCCTGTCTTTTCCCTATTTAACAGGTTATTTCCTTCTCTCTTTAAGATTTCATCATTAACTAGCAAATATTAGGAATGAAGATTCTCAAGGATGAAACCTTGTTATCTGATATTATATGAAAACCATTATGTTCACATTACTAAAATAAATAAGGAATGATCGTGGACATTTAAGCTAAATTTCTAGTTCTGTCCATCTGACAGAAGTAAAATTTTCTCATGGTTACATATTCTTCCCTATAACATATTTTATTTGCAATTCTTCACTGTGTTACTAAAATGAACTGTTTTGGGTAGAGTAAATGTAACAGAGCTAAACCATTCTAAAATGTGGTTCCATTTTCTCTAATCTTCTCCTTTAAGGTTTTTGCTAGTTTGTCTCTTTATTTCTACTGGAATTTCTCCAGAAACAAAATGCATTCCTCACAAGCCAAATATTGAATTCAGCCAGGTCACAATATCGAAAGACAATTTTCATCATGCTAAAGAAATGAGGAGAATTTATTATGTCGGCATGCTAAATCTGAACATGCTCCAGTATGTCATTCAGAAAAATCTACTTGATATTGCAGGAATAAAGTCCAGGGACACTCTCAAAAGAAGCTCTTGCAATGCAAATCAAAATAAATGGCAAGTTTACGGGCTTATTAACTCGGACTCATAGCAAGTTTTGGTTCACAACCCAGTTAATTTTATTTGCTCCATAAAAAACATAATCATTATAACGATAGTAGTGGATGGTGTCATCATGTCATGCAAACAATAAAGCAAGGTTTTCAAACACAGTATTGGGTATTGCATGGGCCCTCAACTTTGGTGATCTTCAAAATCTGTATCGGCAACTTTATGGGGTAAAAACAAAATCTAAAATTTTTAAAAAAGACATAAAATTATGTAAAATGAGAAGTGCCTGGTTCTCTAACCCCAATCGCCGATAGCATATCCTGGGTCACAGACAGCACTGGGTAAATCCCACAGATTCGAGCCAATGCCCAAGGCAGGTTCCCTACCAAAACCCATCTGGATCAGCAATTTTTAAAACCTTGTAATAAAGCAACCTGGAAATCCAGTACCAGGGATTAGTGGACTTTTAAGGAAAGGGTCCTCCTCTATTTATTAGGCCCAATAGATTTTTTATTACTACTTTTGCAGAGGTGAAATCCCTAATAGCTTTGAAGTTTTGTGCTCAAAGGGTATACACCCCAGCCATAGCCAAAACGTTATTAGATTGGCTATAGGGGTAACTACTCCCCCATGGCGCATGGCTATGATTTTTGACAAGATCACAAATTCAAGACCCTCGTGTATCCTTTCTTTCCAACTTGCCTTGAAGCAACCAAAGACATAGTTGACGCATTAGCTTATGAGGGCATCGTGTGCGATGGCCTTTTAGTTGCATCAACTTTTCTTAACCATTGAGATGCTGCTTTGGCATTTCTTTGGTGCTCTCAGGATCGATATTTTGTACTTTACCAATATCCAAAAAAACAAAAAGAAGAAGATAAAAGCAACTGCAAAAGATAATAAAGTATACCTACTTTTCTCTTGTGTATGTTAACAGAACTTGAGTTTTATTAACAGATGAAGACTTCCAATGCATGCTATATATAGAAAACTTTATGGTTATATTGAGGGATTTCTGCCAGAAAGAAATAATCAGGAAATGATGCTTGCTACAAATTTTTTTAAAGAAAAGAAATTTAGTTACTAACTGCACCAAAGTTACTTGCTGCTCTATAAAATACGCAAACATTTTCTCGCTTGTATGCAGTTCGTCTGAAAATAACATTTATTGCATCTCACAGTATACAGTACGATCCATTTAACCAAATTTAAAAAGTACTATAAAAAAACACTTAAAACAATCACAAAATGGTCAAAGCAACCTATTAAATTTCAGCATCTAGATATAAAGAGAATTTAGTTGTGGAACCAATAGGTGATAATATGAGGGAAAGTAGACTTAGGTGGGTTTGCTATGTGTGTTGTAGACCTAGTACAAATACTTGATTAGGAGGTGCGAGTTAGTTCAGGTAGAAGGCTCAAAAAGGTAAAAGGTATGCCCAAAAAGACATGGTTGGAAGTAGTGAGAAAAGATATGAGACTGATGGCTTCACTGAGGGTATGGCCCTAATAAGCAGAATGACAAACCAGGATTCATGTAGACGACACTAATTAGTTAGGCAAAAGGCTCTGACGATGATGATGCAAATAAAATATCCACGAAAGGAAATTTATCAACCTGCTTGAGGTCATCCTAAAATCCCTCGCCTCAACATATGATAAGAAAATCCCATATCATAATCGTTGAAAATTCATTACTGCAAGACATATTGAAATTGCGATATTTCACAATCAGTGCATAATGATAATCTATCCCTATGAGGACATTTTGGTCTACTCGACCATTGCGATATGGTTGTGCAAGTCTATGACTAAACCAGCCACTAAAGTTTCACTTTCACCGTTTCAGTGTACATTTACTTGGAAAAATATATGCTCTAGATCATTTAAGAATATTGAAGATATAGATGACCAAGTAATACAATGACGAACCTCTAAGCCATTGATAGGCATGAGCCTCATGCCATTGACTGGTTGAAGCAAGTTGTTAAAATGGGGCAATTTTTTCTATCGAGTACTGAGGACCCAAAAATCCATCAACCTAACAATTCCAGCATACTCCTAATGGTCAATCCATGTAAAGCTAAGAGCTAGGACCACTGGCACAAGTTTATCTGCAAAATCAAAATGCTTCCCCTTCCTATACATGTCCTCGTGGTAGAACCTAAGTTACCTAACAACTCCAAAATTAACTCAATAGTACAATTGGCCTTCCTGTTGTGAACAATCAAGTTTTTTGTTTATTTTTCTTTCATTTAAGCCCCTGAGGACATTTTTGTCATTTCCCTTTCTTAAGGGGCATTTTTGTGCTTTTGTATTTTTGTTATTAAATAAAAGGGTTCAATCCCATTGTCGAGGGCACCTAGCATGCCTAAAGGAAGTAGAAAACTGAAAGCAAGTTATAGCTTCTCAACCACTCCTTAAAATGAGTCCAAAGAGCATACTCAATAGAGAGAGAACAAGCGTAAGAACCTAGATTCAAGGAGATCAAACAAGTGTTGGGTTTTTGTGGCATTTAAAGGCCTAGAGAGCTTATAAAAATGATATTTATAGTGGAATAGCACTTCAATGGGAGTGCATGTGTTGACTGATTAAGGGTTGAGCGTTTTATGGCCCTAGTCATGTCCAAATTGGCCTTGGGCATGTGGCATTACTGAGAAGAATTTGCAGAGGGTCATCTCTTGTTGAAGTCAAAGAGATACCCAGGGATCATATTTGTAGTACAGGAAAACTGTGTGGTCTCCTTTGTGCTGTTGCAGGCCTGTGAGAGCAAGGGCCAAAACCTCACAAACTTTTGCACGGCATGTACACATGACAACTGCATTACTGGGAAGCAGCTCTTTTAGAGGAACACGTATACATGTGCATAGGGAGTGCCCCTTTTGCACTGTGGTCATAAATGCTAGCCTTGTTCTTAAAAGGGGGAACTGAAATCCATATTCCAGGATCATGGTCCCACTGTTTATTATCCAACTTAGACGTGCCAATCATGAGCCTTTGCTTTGAGACTGTGGGTCATAAGTCTTTGTTGGATTGAATAAGAAATAGTATTGGATCAAGGTTTCTGGGCGAGTGGAGTGCACTTAGTGTTGCTAATTTTTGACCTATTGGTACTACTCCACTCTTAGTATATTTTATTTTGATATTATAGATGTTTCCATGATTTTTTAGATATTTTTCAGAATTTTAAAATATCATTTCTGCTGTATTTTTCATAAAAAGGTATTTCTGAAATTTCATAACTTTATATAGCACATGTGGGGCCTGCCCCCACATGTGTGTGCGACCCATGTGAGGCCCACATGACCTCACAGGTAGCACGCTACTTTTTATGCTGAGAGGCACGCCAATTTTCTAGCAAAAATATGGCCCGCCACTTTTTAAGCTAAGGGTTTTGGACTAAGACCATAAACCGCCCAACTCTTAGTCAATACACACTCTCCCACTAAAGTGCATATTCCACGATAAATATCATTTTTGCAAGCTCTTTGGGCCTTTAAAGGTCATAAAAACCCAACATCTCCCACTTGGCCTTTGAAAGCCATACAATCATTCCCTTTCAATTTCTCTCAAGCCCATCCCATGTACATGTCTGGTAAAAACATTCGCTACCAATCCTTTTATCAAAGGATCTGCTAACATAATCTCTGTCAGGAGATGTGCAATCAGAATCTCTCATGCTCGGATCTCGTTGTGAATGTGGTAGTAGCATGGGAAACCTTGGCCTTTTGACACACAAATAGTTGCCTGGTTGTCAAAGAAGATTCTGACACACGGGCACTTCACTGGATCAAATATGAGTTAATTCAGGAACTTCTGCAACCAGATTGCTTCTTTAGCCACGAAACAACATGCCACATACTCTGACTCCACAGACGAGAGTGCAACAATATCGTGTTTCTTTGAGCACTAAGAAATAGCTCCACTTGCAAGTATGAAGACATATCCAGATGTGGACTTACTTTAATCTGGATCGCCCTAATAGTCCGCATCTGAATATCCTTGTGGCTGTATATCCGAGCCTCCCCCATAAGCAAGTGCGTAATTAATCCTTCACCCTTCAAATATCACAATACTCTTTTGATGACTTTCCAGCGCTCCATGCCTAAATGAGTCTAAAACCTTCTAATCAAACTCATGGCAAAAGATAAATCTAGTATTATCCTTGGCATAGCATACATTAGTGAACCAACTGCACTTATGTATTGAATTCTCTGCATTGCTTCATTTTCT